CATATAAAGTTAGTGATTGGTTTTTCCATATCCCTAAAGAATATTGGTGGGATCTGGATTGGGATTGCATTGAATGTATACATTGCTTTGGGTGGCCTAAAAGTTTTTAACTAATTTGAACAAATGTGTTCAATGCTCAAAGTATAACAAAAATTTAATCTGTCACTGATGTAAAAGGTGTTCCACTCTAGGTATTGAATGTGTGAAAGATTTAATAACTTATCCTTGAGTTCCTTTTCTGAGTAACTCTCTTAAATCACCTACTTGCTTATTCTATAGCTCTCTCATAAAACTAGAATGTAAAGCAATATTTGTCTTTATTTGGATTAGCATAGGAATAGCTTTAGTACTCCTAGGTGCCTCATTTTCTACCCTCTTCTCTCCCCAGTTACGTACCCCCAAGACTTTTCCACTCCAAGAGAATAGTGCCCGTATGTATCAAAGTCTGCTTCTGTAAATGGCTGACAAATAAAATTATTATTTTTTTCACGGACATTTGAAGTCAGTTTCAAATAAGTATTCATAGCTGTGTGATGGGGGCTGCTTTTGCTATCACTACTAGTCAAAAATGTTTGAGCTCTCTCTAGAATCTGGTGTTCCAGTAACAAGTAACAGCTTGATCAAAGGTCTAAATATGAGGCAAGTTGGTAGTGAAAAGTAAGGCTGAAGAGGGAAAAAGAGGCCACTTCACATAGAGTGTATAAATGGTTAAAGAGCTTGGATTTTATCCTAAGAAGAGTGGTAAGCCATTGAAGGCACATGTAAGCAGTAAGCCTTTTCTATATAGCAGTGCACATCTAGACAGGAACATACTGTGTTAGGAAGGAAAATGGAGAGATGAGACTTGTGGATTGTGAGTATTATCTTTGCTGTGTTGTTGTTGGGTGCCGTCGCATCAGTTCCAACTCACAGTGATCCCTTGTACAACGTAACGAAACACTGTCCGGTCCTGTGCCATCCTCACAATTGTCGTTCTGTTTGAGTCCATTGTTGCAGTCATTGTGTCAGTCCATATCATTGAGGGTCTCCTCTTTTTCGCTGACCCTCTACTTCACCGAGCATGATGTCCTTCTCCAAGGACTGGTCCCTCCTGATGACATGGCCAAAGTTGCCTTGCCATCCTCACTTCTAAGGAACATTCGACTCC